AGAGAGAGAGAGAGAGAGAGAGAGAGAGAGAGAGAGAGAGAGAGAGAGAGAGATTGAGAGATTGTCTTTTTTTTTTTAAAGAGGGCAGCTCCTCAGGTGACAGAGCCCCGCAGATTTGTTGACGGCGTCTTTTCCAGCTGGCTGCGGGGTGGGAAGGGGCTCAGCCAGACAAGTGTCATTAAAGGAGTTCCCGAGGGGTGAACAGGTGCACACCGCACCCCGGCTGCGTGTGGGCAGGGCAGGGGCACGGGCAGCCAGCGTGGAGTCCGAGCTGGCTAGTTAGACTCTTCTTGATTTGAGTCTCAAAAAATGACGAGAACCGAAGCTCAGAGCGGTGGGGAAAGCGCCTGTCACAGCGTATTGTGTCGCCTTAGGTGAGGAGCAGGTGAGTTTTGCTGTTGTTGTTCTCAGTGTAGTGTCACAAGTCCTAGTATGCGGTTTAGATCCGACCTGTTTAGACCCATTTGAATCCACTGGAGGTCAAAGCGAAGCCACGCAGCCTCCCTGTTTTTTTCTGGGTAGTTTTATCAGGCTTTGACATCGGAGTAGCCACCCTGCAGAAGTCCCGTGTAAACTAGTGGAAATTGGAGGGCTATCCCAAAGCAATTGAATTTTCCCAGCTAAGCGGAGTAACTGAGATGTAGATCCAATAAAGCCCGCTTTGACTCGGCCTGAAAATGGTTTAATTATAGACATTTTGAAGATCTAATCATCTCTGTTTTTCCTTAGTTTGGGAACTGTTTAATGAAAGAGGCCTGAAATAGTTTATGTATTCAAAATGTTTGGGTCTTCTCTCTTTGGAAAAAGAATTCCCACAACAGTGTTGATTACTCACTTATTTGTGTTGTAGAAGCCCCCCCCCCATCTATTTCTCTCTGTGTGTGTCTCTCTATGACTACCCAGTTGGTGCTATCAGATTCATTCAGGAATGCAGCTGCTTTTGGATTGATGACTGTTAGGGAAGTAATTAGTTTATGTTAAAAGTGAGAGAGTAATTCTGTCTTTATATTCTGAGATGTTTGAGGTTAAAAAAAAAAACCTGGAGTAACTAGTAAGAAAGGAACTTTTTTTCATACATAGGGGAAATAGAAGGTTATAGAAGCCAGGTAGCCTCCATAGAGAAGTTTGTATTTTAAACTTTGACTGACATAGGAAGTTTCTTTTTAATTATTTGTTTGTTTTGAGACAAGTCTTGTTATGCAGGCCTGACTGGCCTTGAACTCACAATGTAGGCCAGACTGATCTCAAATTCACAGAAATACTCTTGTCTCAGCCTCCAGAGTACTGGGATTACAGCCATGCACCACCATGCCTGGCAACATAGAAAGATTTATTTATTTTTTTTTAAATGAAGATCTGATTCTTCTTTCTGCTCTGTAATACATTTTTTTTCCAGAAAATAAACTATTGCTTATTAAACCAATAACAGCAATTGAATAAGAAATACTCACTTGTGTAAAAATGAAAATATTCACTTTTAAATATACTATATTTGAAATAACAAGTTAGTACTTTCTATACATGCTTTGCTTAAAGCTGCTTCAAGGCCAAGATTTTGTGGGTAGACTGAGAAGGCTGAGTTCTGGATGACTCTGAAGCGTACTTTTTTTTTTTTTCCGGGACTGGGGATTGAACTCAGGGCTTGTGCTTGCCAGGGAAGCGCTTATTCCACTGAGCCATCTCCCCAGCCCCAGAAGCATACTTTTGATATGCTTATAAAAATGAGTTGTGGAGATAAATTTGGAAACCTCTGCTGGCCTATGATTTTGATGAGATCTTTCTCCTCTAAACATACTTACCGTCTCAAAGAAAAGTAGCATAATTATTGGCATCAGTGGGACAAAATTTACCATGAAAACTGTGACCAAGTATTACTGTTTTCTGAAGTCCAATTAATACTTCAAGTTCTGTACTTGAGAGCAAGCAAAGTTTCAGGGATTGTTATGGGCTGCAAATTTTGTGAATAACTACATTCTGGAAATAGATTTATAAATTATGAATTACAAATATCGGAGAGAATGGGATTTTATTGCTTATTCCTATCTTGAGGTCAGTAGAAGTCTAATTTTCGGTTTTCTCGTGCCAGATTATCACCATGAAGTATATAAGATCTCAGAATTCAGCAACGATGTTAATGGAGAGGCCAAAGAAACACAACCCATTTTTTTAGGTAGGTTCCTATGTCAATTAATTTCTCAGCAGAGCAGTGTGGCCATTTGCAGTTGGGAGGGATTTGTGAGAACGGGAAATGTCTGCCATTGCTTAATGTATGACACTCTTTTCAAGACCTTTTATTTTACAGATTGCCAATATATCCCTTATTAACATTGCTAAAAGTTGTAATTTCAGACATAAATGTTTATTAGTGTCTACACACAGTGCTAATTATCACTCACTCACGGAGCCAGATGCTGACCGTGCAGTTTCGTGGCTCTGTGCTCACCCCATTTACATTGCATATTCGCTGGCATGCTTCACTGGCAATAGTTTGTGTAATTGGGGTATTACATCTTTGACATCTGGATAACAGAAATTCAATTTCCAGGAAGCTGCTATTTGTTTGGTTTTGCTTCTGCCTTGGGTGGGCTAGAGGATTAATGTGCTGTCTTATTATAATGTCCCTTCACCTCTGTGGCCTGGTTGCTAATCCTGCCATGACAAAATTAAATTAAATCTACAGTCAAAAAGCATAAGGAAAATAAAAGCGTGATTGTCTGCCTAACCACTTCTTCATAGAGCTAGTTACCATTGAGCACCTCCTAAGCTCCTATCTTTTCTGGTTTTGTATTGCTGTCCCACCAGCATTTCTGGCTATGAAGAAGAACCCCGCCTTTCCTCCTCCTTCTTGGTTCACCTCAGGGGCAAGTGGAGTCAAAAGCAGCATCTTCCAGACCTATTGATGGTGATGTGGCACTCTGGATAGGCAGATAGTCAAGTGTTGCTGCTGCGTGCTGTGTAGTTGTGTACTTGAAGGGTCTTGGATGTGTGCTTTTGTTATCTGCAGACCAGGAACTGAAAATGAAACCATTTAGGATGTTGCCTTTAAGAGTGAACTGCCCACAGAGTCACAGTGGAGCTAGGTGGCATCAAGCCTTAACCTTGTCCATTCTAGAGGTTCTTTATCCCTGGGGGGCAGGATGAGGGTTGGGGACTGTGTGGCCAGGGTGCAGAACGTGAGAGAAGTCATGGTGAGAGTTCAGTGTGGACAAAGGCTGAGTACTCCGCTGCCTGGGCCTCCTGGTAGCATGGTTGCTGCTACTCAGACCCAGTGCCTTGGTCCTTCAGATTCACAGTCTGGAGAATACTGTGCTTCACTAGGATCTCTGTCTTACTTTGAAGGAAAAAAAGGTGGGTTGCAAAGGACTGGGAAGAAGTGGAATAGATACAGACATGAAATAGTCTGAAACATCAGCATTTCTTGTATGAATAGGTACAGAAGGCCCCAGGGTCTTTCCATTGAGGGGAAGACCATGACCAAGGCTAGCGCCACTCTCAAACACCTGTGGACTGTTCAGAGAACTAGAAAGGCCAGATGGTGAATACTTAAGTGAATTACTATGGCCCAGAAAGAAGTCAGGAATTATATACTTCTCAGTTCCCTAACCTTGGCCAGTTGAATTCTCTGTAAGTACCACTTGATTTAGCCATTTGAAGTGAAGAATTTTCCTTCTAGTAGGAAATTTATGTTGATTATACGAATGAAACATCATGTCCTTGATTTAGTTCACCAGTGACGGCCTGCTCCAAGCTTCCTATCCTGTGTATAAAAAGAATAGCAAAAACACAAGAGGAAGTGAATTTTGAAGGGGAAAAAGGGGAGAATGAGGAACAAGAGTGTACTAGGGCTTGCTCAGGATTGAGTAGAGTACAAAGCCTCAAAGATAACCACTGCTCTCCTGTTTCCTGTATGGTTTGCGGAAGATAATATGATAATATCAAGATGAGATCGGCTTAGGATTTACTTTCTTTTTTTCACAGGAGTGGGGCTCCACTTTTATAGTAGTGAGTTAGAAAGAATGAGCAGCCTGCTCATTCTTTGCCTCTGCCTTGGGTGTAAGATATGGTTCCCAGGAAACAGTTTTCTTTTGTGATCTTCAGGGCAATTAAAAAAAAATAATGGAAGTCATTATGTAAACAGGATTTCTAGAACAATTGGAAATATTAATAATATGTCAAATGAAGAATTTTGTTATTGAAAGTGTTATAAATTATAGATCATAATTTATAATAATTATTAAAGCAGATTTAAATGAGATTCATGTTGTAAGTTGCTAGTATGTTCATAATATTATTTATGGTTTGAAGCATATGGCATCTAGGAAAAAGTTTGATACCATGATATCAGGCAGTGTTTCACTTGTGTCAATAGCATTGGCCCCCATCGTGTTAAAGAGGACTTTCTGCATTCAAACATATATGTTATCTTTGACACTCTGCATCTTTAAGATTAAAGTTCATGTCCCAAGGAAGAGGAGAGTACTGCAGGATTTAGCAGAGATTCCTACATCAGATTTTCTCTGGAATATTTTTAGGCTGCTAAGCAAGGTAGTACATTCAAGATAGTAGGTAGCTTGGTAGAATAAATGGCTTTGGGAATTAATCACACATTTTAAATTTAATAAGGTCAAAAGAGGGAATTTTACCTCATGGATGTTGACTTTCTTGGACTGGTTTGATGGAACTACAGTAAAAATTTGAGCACTGTTTGGAGGAAAACAATTAATTTGCTCAATTCAGCAAGTATTTTTGTGAAAAAAATATGCTAACTCAACACTTTTCTGATGTAGGAATGAGATCTGAAGTGGATAGGACAGGGAGCCTACTCTCAGTGACTGAAATCTAGTGGGGAGAGAATGAGATTCAGAAAGCAGGCAGCATTATACAGAAATCATCACTACAGTTTGAGCTCAGTGTGCAAGACTATGAGCTGAGTCCTTTATGTGAATTGTCTCACTTACTCCAGCAGCAAATCTGTCACAGGGTCATTATCATGTTGCAGATAAGGCATAGAGATATTAGAGTGACCTGGCACAGGTTACTCAGTAGTACAACCATAACCAGGATCCCAGTATTGGTCCACGTGAGTTTTAAACTCTCTACATCCCTCTGTGTGAACATTTATTCAGCAACATTCATGAATAAACAGTGAAGAAGCAGAAATAAGAGTTGGAATCCCAGTCTTTCATCCTACTAGGAACTTTGCAAAGACAAGACCTTAAACTGCAGGAAAGACTTGGTCAGACAGAAAATCCCTGGTAGGAAGAGTGTGGACCAAGGTGGAGTGATAAGTGTAGGTGTAATTAGACTTTGAGTGAATGTTATTATACTTTATAGTTACAACACACTGTTATCTGTGATATCTCATGGGATTTTTACAATGTACCTGTGAGGTACTTAGGGTGGTTACTGTTATTTCTGTAGTAATGAGGATGAAGTGACTTGGGTTTGACCAGTGGAACATGCAGTAAACCCAGGTCTCCTGTCCAAACATCCCTTCTCCCTATGTTGAGGCAGACAAACTTGGGTCATTGAAGACACCTTAGCTGGTAAGAAGGCACTTTTTGAAAAAAATATTTTTATGAGGTAATTTATCATTTATAGTAATAAAACAAGCATTAATTTCTCTTTTGTACATTGTATTTTGGGTTAGATTTACTATTATAACATGCATTTGAAATATGTCTATTTTTCGGTTATTTAATTCTCATTTATTCACTTAGCAAGTATTTTTTGAGCTCCAATTATACACATTCCAAGCCCTGTCCTGATGGTTTAGAATATTCAGTTTGGTTTTACAACTTTTAGTAAATGAGGCCTGTGTTGTGGTAGCTATGCCAGTTGAGCATAGTCAAGATCTCTTACCTTGAGTCTCTTTTCAGTGGCTTTCTTGATGATTGCTATCCCTTGAAGGTCCCCAAAATCTCTCTAAAGGGAACATTTTTAGACACCTTTACAAGTCTGGGGGTTGACCTCTTACTGCTGTGGTACTCCCTGGACAGCTGGGTAGCCCTGTGTGGAACAGGGTACTCTTTGATTAGGGTCTGGTGGCCTGTGTCCTACCTTCTCCTGAGAGGAAGTAGATGCTGATGATGCTACCTAGGGTATGATTCCAGCAGTAGAAACAAGCCTAGAAAGGGGAGGACTAGGAAGGCCTAGAGAGGAGTACAAGGTAGAGCCTTAGAATTTCATCATTCAGAAACAAGAGGCTTTCATTTCTGTTCCTCCTCCTGTCCACTCCACTCTCAGCTCTAGCCCCACCATATCCTTGTATCACTTTCTTTTTTTTTTTAGCAGGGATCAAATTCCGGACCTTGTGCTTGCCAGCCAGGCACTTAAGCCACTGAACTATCTTCCCAGGCACACCCCTTCTTGTCCTTTTACAAATATAAGGACTCCCCTTTTATGGTGGCAGAGTTATGGGGGCAAAAAAAAAAAAAACCTACGAGTGTTTCTTAGGATTAGGAATGTGGCCAGTGTATGTGTCATTTGTTGAGAGCTTGCTGTTAAGAACTTGTAAATGTTACCTGTCTTTTTAGTTGTCCCAGAAAAGGTATTGTCATTGCCACCGTATAAACGAAGTATTAGAGGAGTTCACATGGTTGCTTAGATCTGCCTCTCCAAAAGCATATCCTCATTCTGTGATGAGTTTTGTTCCAGTACATTCCCATGTGGAATGCTTAGCATTGATAGAAGATGAAGAGGAGTGGAGCTACTTCAAGAATGGCACCTTACACACCCCTTCATCCTTCATCCTCTGCAACCTGTTAGTGTACCATATTCCTGATTTTAAGACCCCAGTTCACCATGATCTTTAGTTGCATGCATGACTAGATTGTAGGTCAAAAAGTCGCTTTAAAAACAATTGCAGGCACAAAGTTTAGAGAACCTCTTGAGGAAGCATAATTATGGCTTCTTTGAGTCTCTGTGTGCATGCAAATGTGTCTCAGTACTATGACTGCAGATGTGCCATCTTAATGTCTCTGGCTGCCCTGAATTTGGAAGGCACAGTAGTCAGGCCTATGCCTATCTGACTACATTTGTTTGTCCTGAGGTGACTCCTGCAGCTACACAAGGAGGTGGGTGCTGTATCTAGTTTTTGTTTTACAAATGGGTTGCCCCTGGCCATGTAGGGCTAAAGCCCTTGACCACAGGACCAGATCTCCCAAAGTC